GCTCGCCCGCGGAGTCACCCGGGGAGTCACCCGCGTAGTCGGAGGAGCGCGGCCGCGCGCGGGGCCGGGGCTCGAAGAGTGGTGCTTCCGTAGAGGCTCCGGTCCAGAGGCCGGTCTCGAGAGGTCATGGACGAACCCGGGAGAATGTAGCGCCTCAGCCGGTGCAAATCGTCCTGAAAGGCCGGCCGAGCGCGCGGCTGCCCGGTTTCGGCAGTCTTGCAGGGAGGAGAGCGGGCCCCAAAACGCTGTCAATGGTCTTTGCAAACATTGCATGAAAGAGAGGAAGACGAGAGGTAGTGTTTTAGCCGTCTCTGTAAATATCCACGAAAACCAGCTTCTACACCTGGAGAAGGGGGCGCTAACGCTTGGATTTTACAAGTTACCTAAAATGCCCTCAGGGCCGGGGCTCAGGCCACCTTCCTCCTCCCTGGAGCTGGGCTCCTTCAGCACGAGAAGGCCCACGGGGCATTCTGAGAATATCCTGGAGCCATTTAGTCTTGCCTCCAAGGCGTGGTGGGTTTATTTGCTCCGAGAAGAAACGGATCCCTTAATGGGGTGAGATTTTTCCTCCGTGCATTGTTCCCATTTCCGCAGTTTCACTTGGCCTGGGTTTTCTTCCAGAGTAATGCACCAAATGAAATTAGCTAGAGAACGTTTGATGGCGCAGAATCATGGTTTGAAGATGTTTACTCTCTATGCCGGACGCATTTGATAATGTTCTCTTCGCACAATTAATTTTGCAAAGTTCAGAAATGTGCCAGATAGGGCCCCTGGCACGCAGAAGCCACAGGGTACTGCAGACACACCTTTAATAGGAAGCCGGCTTGTTTGTTTCATCGTGATTTATGTAATGCACCAGCACCAAGGCCAACATGTTTTTTAGAGACCTTTGGATGCAATTCCAAAGCAATTTCTAAATTGGCAAAATGAGGGTTATTGTCTGAAATAATTTTCCCTGCTGGTAATGTCACTCTAAAATGTGCAACAAATCACCTGAAAATACATTAATTGAAAAGTAGCTGCCCTAGACTAAAATATGTGTGTTTCACAGCAAGACGTGGTCCCTGCTAGTGCCCTAATAGACAAAATGCATATTTTGAACACCAAAATTGAATTCTTACTGTTATCTCTAAGACCTTGTTTAAAAAACGTGCTTCTACTATGTGTAGCTGAAACCTCATTGACGATGTACAACATTGCTTTCTGTTTACCGCTACTCTTGAGTCCTTGATGGTTTGAGAGATTTATCATTATTCATATTGGAAAATCCTATAGCTGGCTTTTCCATTAGGCACAGTAGGCACAGCACCGAGGGACCACAATGCTTTTAGGGGTCTATGAAATGTTTTAATTTCTTTTAAAATCAGAAGGAAAAAAAATAAACATGTATATGTAAGAAAGCATTTTAACATATATTAATATATTTGTCTTTATGCTAATGCAGTCTTAGAATTTATTTATTTTTTGTGGGGGGGGGGGAACAGCTCAACTGAGGCAAAAGTACCTAACCAAAAAAAAAAAAAAAACAAAACCAAACCTGTCGCCGTCAGGTCGATTCTGACTCATAGCGACCCTACAGGACAGAGTAGAATTGTCCCATAGGGTTTCCAAAGAGCAGCTAGTGGATTTCAAGTACTGACCTTTTGGTTAGCAGCCTGAGCTGCACCACCAGGGCTCCAAGAGTGCCTAAGTCCCCCCAAAATCATAATGTGACCCTGTTGCCTGAGATTGAAAAATCCCATTCCATGAGAAAAATTTCAGTTTTAAATTCATAACATAAAATGCTAGCTAGCTTGGGTGACTTTGTTATACACGTATAAAGAAACGTTTGGGGTAATCAAACCCAAACCAAACCTGTTGTCGTCCAATCGATTCCAACTCATGGTGACCCTATGAGTTTCAGAGCAGAATTGTGCTCATTAGGGTTTTCAATGGCTGTAATCTTATGGAAGTAGATCACCAGATGCCAGGCGCCACTGGGTGGATTTGAACCACTGACCTCTCAGTTAGTAGCTGAGTGCAAAATATGAATAGCTAATATCCATCAGATACACACCATGTGTCTGTCACTGTGCATTACCTCATTTAATTCTCACCACACACCTGTGAAATAGGTGCTGTTATTATAAATAGGGGCTAACGCAGGTTTTATGAGGCCTGAAATTTATGCAATTTGGGTCCTCTTTAAAAAAAAAGCAAAAACCAATACAACATGCCCAAGGTGCTCCAGCAGCAGCCAAAATGAGAGAACGTGACTTAGGAAAAGGCCAAGTGGAAAGAAACTGCAGTCTCAGCTGATAGTAGTTAAAATACCTTACTTTTGCAAATTGTACAAAAACGCACGACTGTGAGTGCATTGCTAGGGCTCCTGCCGTGGCCTTAGTGGGATCCCAGAAAAGGGGCCTTGAAGCTTACACTGTATCAGCTTCACAGAAAACCTGTCTCTGATTATACCCATTTTACAGATAAGGAAGTTTAGTAACTTGCCCCATCTTCTGAGGAGCACCATATTCCCCAGGCCATTCTGTGCTATGGTTTGAAGAGTTGTGGTCTACAGGCATTTTCGTGAGAAATAATGGATTTTATATTTCCATAACGAAGCAAGAGCTTTAAAAATACATTAGAAATATTTTGATTATAACCAAGCCATAACTCAGATTAAGACATTTGATGTGCTTTTGCTGTCTATGCTGACAAGAGTATAAAAATATAAATTAACTAGTATAGATTCTTAAAGGAATTTCCGCTCAATTTTAAATGGCAGGGATTGACATCATTTTTATTCCCTTGTCATAGGCTAGTGTATGTTGTAAGTACTATTTTCTATAACATTGAGTTTTTTTGCAATTTCATGAGATGTTGCAAAAAAAGTATCAGAATAAGAATTTGTTTTGAGTGATGCTTATATGTATCATACTAAGAACCTGGCACATAGCAGATCTCAATAAAGGTTTGTCGAACAAATGAAAGAATGAAATGGAAAAAAGAGCACATGATTATAAGTAAAAGTATAGGTTATGGAACAAGTTAAAATTGGATGGGAATGAAGCAGCAAAATGTTGAACTATAAGTACTTGCTACATAAGCGGAATTGGCTTCTTAGCTAATTATTTTGTATTCAGGATTTGTGTTCTTCCCAGATGTTGGCTACTCTCCCTGCATTTCTATTTTGTTCTTTCTTTTTTTGGTAAATGAGATTTCACTTGAAGTGCTTGAATATAAAATGATCCTTAAGTTATACAAAAATCATAGTCATACCTGCAGTGAAAAGTTCTGGAAATAAAAGGCTTTGCTCTTTCAAAGGATCAATCACTCACGAAAACAGCAAACTTGAGATGATGGGGTTTTATTATTAAATTACCCACATCTTGACTCTTAAGTGGGCTTCTCACGATTCGTGATCTAATATGTATAATATTAATCAATCAGTGGGACAAAATACGGCATCATTCCTGGAAGAAATTTTGGAACTGAATAAAAATCTGAAAATTAAGCATAGTTACTAACCACTGAATAGTTGAAATGAGTGAAACTGTTCTTCATTTTAACCCTGACTAATAAATGTAAATTGGTTTATTTTAGAGCCTAGTTTGGGACAAGATTCAGAACTTTAATTAGATTATTGTAACAAGAAGGCGTATGAGAATAATCAGCTGATTTTCTGTAGATTTTTATGCGCGAATAGTTAGAAATGCTATTTGAGGGGCATGAGAAAATGTGATAAACACCATGAAAGATAATATCTGCCTAGGGTTCTGTTTAGAATATTCTCTCTTCAGGGGTGTTATGTAAAATAGTTTGGTAAATTACCATATCCCTAGCATGGCCCCAACAGGATTGTATTTCGTTTACCTTTTGTTTATGTATACTGTGCCATCTTCCAAAAGAGACTGAAGATGATTTACAATGAAATGCAATTATATGTTTTAAAAATGTAAACAAACAAACAAAAAAAAAAACTTGGCTGAGACAAACAATGGCATTCGAGCACAAAACTTAGCTGCAGGCTTCCTCGTAGCCAAGTGAAATAGGGGGAAAGAAGGATTCATAACTCTTAGTGTCAAGTGGGAGGAATCATACAATTTCATGTGGGAGAAAGTCCTTCCTGGCCCAGGCTCTTAGTGGAATTTGTCATAATGAGGGATGTTTGTTCAAAAGTTTAAGTTAAGAGAGACACTACACAAAAGATTTGGCCATCTTTTGGTGGCAAGCAGATGTAATATATTTTCTCCGGTGAATATAGATTTTCTCTGGTGAATAGCTTTGAAATTGCTTAAAATGAAAGTAAGTAAGGCTCCTACATAGTTTTGTTTTTTTTTTTTAATACTGCCTTCGAATGCAAACCGAAGACATAATATCAAACTTGGTTTTCCCAGCTTTCTTCTCTATTAAAAAAAAAAGGGGGGGTTAATTAACAGTATCTACCTCATAAGGATGTAGAGAGGACAAAAATAAGTTAAGTTCTATAAAATCACTTTTATGGCTCTAAGTGCTAAATTTGCTATAGTTTTCTTCAGCCAGAGTATAAATGTGGATTTTCTTTTCCTCTCCTCTTACAGTTTGTCTTTTATTAAAAACCACCTCAAATCCCTTTTAAAGAATGCATGGTATATGTCCCTGGCACAAAGTAAGCGTTTAGTAAATATTATCCGTGGATATTATATTGCTATTTCTACTACCGCTCCTAAATCTATCAAAGCAAACACCTGAGCCTACTTTGGGGTAGGGCTCGTAGTCAGTGGTTATAACCTTCTGTTGTCCTTGGAGATAAATCTTAGAGGATTGTGAGGAGTAAATGGGTATCACTGAGATCCCACAAAGTAGCCTTCATTCCATTATATTCCCTTTTGTTGTTTGCCCAGCAGCTCCTGTCCTCTATGACTTCACTTACTTGCTCTGATTTGAGGAACACTGAGTAAGGGCTCTTCCCCCCAATTAGACTAACATTTAGTTATCTCATGGGTATTGGATACTTGTTACCTTCAAGCATTTTGTTTCATTTCTTATACTCCTGGGAGGTTAAATGCCTCAAGCTGTTAAAACTAACATCCAGAGCCAGAAGCCTAGGGTTGGGGGTGGGGATGGGGAGCAGGGGACGGTACCAGGAATTTGGAGGGAGCCACTGAAGGAGAGATGGGGACGCTCTGGAATGAACTCTGCCTGCCTTTCTCCCCTCGGCCCTGTCTCCAAACCTTCTGTTTAGTCCCTGTGGACT